CGGCGAGCGGGGATGGAATCGAAGTACCTATGTCTGAACCTTGCGCAATATAATATTCCACATGGAGAGAGAAATACCTATATTTTCTAACTTAACCTACTGGTAAGATAAAATCGTAAAGTTGGAAGAAAAGTACTAATGAAGAAAATTCAATAGCATAGCCAAAATATTGTTGCCGTACATAAAGAAAGGTGCTTGAAGGTCAATCTGGAAGGATTTGCTCACATCATCCCTTTATCCTCACACAAAAAAACGAGAAAATGAAAATAGGTTATTCCACTCCAAACATGCATTGCAAGGAGGAAAAAAAGATACATGGCAGTGATAAAAGGAGCAAAAATATACAAAATTCAAAACAAACCGTACTCATCGCCAACTCTGCTCCAACATTTTGACGATCACCGACAAACTAAATCTAAAGCATTGATGGTTCGCTACACCCTCTTTACAGGGTCAATTCCCTCTTGTAAAGAACACGATGTGCGTAAAACGGAGTCAAATTAGTGGTGGTATTCGACATTTTGGTGTATGTGGGGGGAGGGGATGGGGAAGGAGGGGGGCTCCTATTACTATTATACATTGTTTAAAAATCATAACTTGACGAAATTCAAACAATCATACTAAACATACCTTCCACTCACAAGTGGTAATAATATTAACAACATAAGCAATAGATGGAAAGTAAACAAGCAAACGGCAGCGCTGCTGAACAAGTATACCTCAAGTGTGAAAGGGAAAAAGAGTACATGAATAGCAACTAAGATTCATCATACCACTGGAGCGAAAAGGGAAAAAGGTGTCTATCTTACATATCCATCAGGAAGCACGCGACCCCGTTCATGGAAAAGGTCATGGGATCCGATCCCCTGATGGACGGTATACTCAATGAAAGTAGAAAAGTTTGTCGGTCTGGCGCGACGTACAACGGGACGACGGCGTGCTCTTTGAGCCGATCGCTCATCACCCCCTCGGTCCCCCACCCAATGATGAGGTCCCCTGAAAGCGTCGTGGTGGACTCCGAGTTCGCGTTCGCCGGCTGCAGCCGCAGACTCGAGTCCAGCAGCGCGCCTTGCAAGTGGATGGACGACCCCTCGACCCGGACGCTCGAGGGCAGCCCGTCGCTGATCCCCGTGTTCGCCGCCAAGGTGCCGAAAAGCGACAGGTCGGCCAGGGGGATCCGCGACCTCGCGGCGGTGTCCTGACGCAAGGCGTTCAAAAAGGCCTGCGGTCGTGGGAAGTCGGCCAGGTTGTACGCCCCCTCCCCCCCCCTCTGGAGGGCCTGGAGGCTGCGCTGACGCCGCCCGAGGAGGTCGAGCCAGCGCTTCAGGTCCTTCGGGCCGCTCATGCGGTCCAGCCACGGGGCCGGGACGCGGCCGCTGCCGAGCTCCTCCTCCGGGACGTCGCCCGGGAGCCGGGTCCCGTCCGCCGCCGCCTGCAGCTCCTCGAAGTAGACCCCCAAGTCCCCGATGAGCCGTTGGAGCAGGCCGAGCTCACTGGCGAAGAAGACCACCATCGGGCTCAGGTCCTGCCCCTCGACGTCGAGTTCGCCCAGGGCGAGCGGCGCGGGGCTCTCCTTCCGGAGTCCGCTCGTCTTCCATAACTCCAGCGCGGGGGCGATGAGGGTTTTCAGCCGGCTCAGCGGAAGGTTACGCCGCCCGGTCGAGGTGACGACCTCGCCCGGGGAAAGCGGTCGATTCAGCATTTGAAGCTGCTCGAGATACAAAAGGGTGTTGTTTTCCTCCACGACACGGCCTG